GGTGAAGCTGACTAGGCTAAATTCATCTACACCAAGGAATGACGAAGACCTTATATATCATGAAAATGAAAATGAAATTGAAATTGAACCTGAACTTGAAGAGGTGATTGAACTTCAAGATAACATTGAACCAGTTGAAATTGAACATTTTAATGATCAGCCACCTAATCAAGATTATCAGCTTACTAGGGATTGGGGGAGGAGGCAGATCAGGCCAAATCCTAGATATGAATCCCTAAACTTGACTGATTTTGCCTTGGTTTCAGGTGAAGCCCTTGAACAGATAGAGCCTGCTAGTTATGAAGAAGCTGTTAATGGAAAATATTCTAAAAATTGGCTAAAAGCCATGCAGGAAGAAGTGGAATCTTTAATGGAGAATAAAACTTGGAAGTTAGTTAACAAACCTAAGGATCATAGGATAGTTCAATGTAAGTGGATTTACAAATTGAAAGAAGAAAATAATCTTAGTGATCCCCCTAGGTATAAGGCCAGATTAGTGGCGAAATGGTTTACTCAAAAGGAGGGGGTTGATTACAATGAGATATTCTCTCCTGTGATAAAGTACAAAACAATCATGCTAGTTTTTGCATTGGTTGTTCAGTTCAACTTGGAACTGGAACAACTAGATGTCAAGACTGCTTTCCTACATGAGGAATTGGAAAATGATATTTACATGAGTCAGCCTCAAGGTTTTGAGGTGAAAGGTAAAATAAACTGTGTGTGCAAATTAGAAAGATCTCTGTAAGGGCTTAAACAAAGCCCTAGACAGTGGTACATAAGGTTCGATACCTATGTACTAAAGATAGGTTTTAAAAGAAGTGAATATGATGCATGCCTGTACTATAATGATAGTAAGGAGGGTTGTGAGGTCTACTTGTTGCTGTATGTAGATGACATGCTTCTAGCAAGTTCATGTAAGACTGAAATCACTAAGATGAAGAACATTTTAAAATCAGAATTCGATATGAAAAATTTGGGGAGTGCTAAGAAGATTTTGGGGATGGTTATAAAGAGAGATAGGACTGAAAATAGACTAGTCATTTCCCAAGAAGCCTATCTAAACAAAGTCATAACTAAATTTGGTATGAATGGATCAAAATCTGTAAAATTTCCCTTAGCAGCTCACATGAATCTTTCTAGTGCACATTTTCCTAAAACTGAGGAGGAATTTAGAGAAATGAGGAACATACCCTACTCTAATGCTATAGGTTCCGTTATGTTATCTATGATAACAACCAGGCCTGACTTAGCCTATGCTATAAGTTTTTTGAGCAGATTTATGTCCAACCCTAGAAAGCCCCATTAGGCAGGTTTGAAATGGTTGTTAAGGTACATTGTTGGTACATTAAATCTGGGTCTAGTGTATGAAAAAAGATCTGAAAAACTTACTCTAAAGGGGTATGTAGATTCTGCATTTGCTGATGACAAGGATAGCAGAAAGTCTACCACAGCTTACTTTTTTACACTTTGTGATAATTGTATAACATGGAACTCACAGCTGCAGCCTTTAGTTACTTTGTCAAGTACTGAGGCAGAGTATGTTGTCATAATCGAGGTGATTAAGGAATGTACCTGATTAAAAGGAATTTTAAAGGAATTGAACTTCATGCATGATACACCTGTTATGTTCACTGATAGTCAAAGTGCTTTATCGCTTTGTAGGAATCCTGTTTATCATGAAAGAACTAAACATATTGAGGTGAAGTATCATTTTATTCGTGAGAAACTGTCTCAAGGTGAAGTTAATCTTGTTAAAATTCACACTGAAAGGAATCCCTCTGATGTGGGAACAAAAATTTTACCTGCAGGTAAATTTAAATTGTGCTTATCTTTATTACATATTGACACTGGTTAATTTTTCTTGCAGGTAGTGGGCGATGATGATGAACAATTCTTCCATGTGCAAATTCGCAACCAAGAGAGTGTTATGAGAACCAAGGTGAAGAATGTGAGAATATGGTTCTCTTAACTCCATTAGACTTAAGTGTCATTTGTGTAATTCACATGGATTGTGTTTGTCTAGTTTTATTATGAACCATTGGATGTGATCGACGGTCGGGATTTAATCTATGAGATATTTTTTGTTGCCTTGTCTTGGGGGAGATGTTTTGATTTGATGGTTGACACAAAAAGGCTCCCCCCCTCCCACGTTTTTTGGCAGACAGGTTTTTTTCTCTCTTCTTAAATCGACCACTCTCTCCATTTTGCGGTGGCTGCTCGGTAGAAGGTTGACGTTCTTTGCCAGTTTCTCTCTCTCTCTGTGGAAGGTGATTTGCATGACATGGAACTGTTCTTGAGCCTATAAATCAGCCATAAGGAAGAGGAGAAGGGGCTGTCCATTTTCGGCTGAAATATTGGGTTGTAACTTTCCATTTTATATTCTTGATTTTGCCTTGAAATCCTTTATTGATTGATGATTATTGTTTGATTGAATTCCAAGGATCCCAACAGAAAGAGATGAATAATTATGCATTCATTGAATTAGAATAAAACATGAAAATTAGGTCAAATGATAGCTGGGAAACACGCGATCAAATTTTTCGAATTTTCAGTAAAACAACTCAAGAATAGGATTATAGGAGTTTACCTTCAAGAGAATGTACGTGAGCATGTAGCGTAAAAAGATGGGAATGAAGGTCAATAAATACAATACAGTGGTGCATTTGAATCCAAGGTTGGAAAATTCTCCTAGTTTAAAGAGAGAGAGAGAGAGGCAAGAGATGAATAATTGTGCATTCATTAGGGCAAATGGTAGCTTGGATATACTCGATCAAATTGTTCAAATTTACGATAAAACAACTCAAGTATATAAGTATTTGAATATACCTTCCAGAGCAACAAATACAATACGACAGTGTAATTGAATCCACGGTTGTATAATTCTATTAGTTTAGAGAGGAAGGCGAAGAAAGATATGAATATTTATGCATTCGTTAAATCAGAATAAAATTTTTGCAAATTATAATTCAGAAACATTTTTTGAATTTATCGAAAAGCAACTGAAGTATAGGAGTATTTGAATTTATCTTCAAGAGCACTAGTGTGATTGTAGCATAAAAAGATGGGAATGAAGAGAGAGACCAAGAAAGTGAAGAATTGTGCATGGTACATATCATATATATGCAAGCTTGAAAGTTGGAGTAGGATGGGAGTAACTTAGGGTGGTTATATTGCAATCACCATTTTTATTTGATATACTATATTTTAATTACAGTTGAACTTTTTAATCTTTACTCATTGTAGCAATTTTTTATTAACTTTTTTCCATTGAATTCTTATTTTCAACATTTCATTAATTAGTACATCTTGTTATTGATGATGATTTATATCAAAATATTTTGTTTTTATGCGTTGAAATGAGGAAAAAAATTTCGTACTGTTTATTTATTTATTTATTTTTAACAACTATGATGAAAAATAAGTTATTTTATATCAATTCAACGGACTTTTGGAGATAAAATGGTTACAAGGATACTTTCTCATAAACCAATATTTGGGCTTTTTTGCTGTGCATACAATCCTGTACTGTAGTGAAGTACGATGTACTATAGCATACTGATTTATCCAAGGCAGAACAAAACCAACCTATTTGGTTAATCAACATCATTAGATTGATTATACCAGGATATTCGAATATAAAATGTGTTATCTAATGAAAAATTTGAGGATAAGAAAGACATTAAAAACTGTCAGAAACATAAGTGTTATAACGAGCAAAGATTAAAAACCATAAATGCAATTAAAATATGGTACCAAATATAAAAATTGTAGTGTGAATATAATTATTCAGTAACGTATTCTCTAATTTTTGTGAAAAGTCTAAAATATCTATATTCTTTTTAAGCCCTATTTAATTTGCTAAAAATCAAAATTTTAGTAGATTTTGATAAATATTGATGAAATGTGCGGTTGGAAATTTGATAAAAATTGTGGATCTTATAAAATGTGATTGAAAATGAATTTGAAAAAAAAAATTATTTTTTGCATATACATCTGAGAAATCTTAATTGGCTAGTTGTAAATAGCCCCAGAGTTATGGAATAAATGATTATCCTGGACCTGCATTGCGGTATTGATTGTGATTTTCAAATCTTGCATATTGACTTGTATGTAACTATTGAGAGTGAAGATATTCTACATAATGTAAATATTCCATCCAAAAGTTTTTTTTTTTTTTTTTTTAGTCCAAAACGATCAATATGTATCTGCTTGGGAGCTTACAATTTCATATTCTATTTCACTCTCCGATGGGGATTCTTTTCACCCTTCCCTCACAATGCTACTTCGCTATCGGTCACCTAGGAGTATTTAACCTTGCAATGTGATCCGTGCTAATTCACAAACTCGAGTTGGAACATAAAAAAATTATTATTTAAACGAAGTTAATTATTTATTGAACATTTATTTACAAGATTTTAAGGTAAAATATCTTTTATTAATAATTTTATAGTTCTAAGTTAATATAAAAATACTTTTTCGACAATTTATTACATCTCAAAAGATTTATGTAATAACATTTTTATAAATGATTAGTTCTATCAAGTTGTTCATTTATAAATCGTTCAGTTTCAAGTTGTGAATGTATCTCAAATTAATTTTTATCGAGAAAAATCTATCATGCTTGAAGTATTTTGTAGAAGTTCAGTTGTTTTAGAAAATAAAATTTACAAATTTAATAATTGAAAGTTTTAATATCAAAATTCTAATTATATGTAAGAATACTCAAAAAATTAATCATGCATAAAGTGTGAACTTTACGTATTTAAACGAAGCTGGAAGTAGATCAAGAGTAAAGGGTATTTTAGACATTTGACTGTTTTTACCCTTAAAAAATTACCTTGAGAGAAAATGTCTCGCCGTCAAAATAAGTAACAATTTTATAAAGAAAAAAAAAGTAAAATATGCAAATATGTTAAGAAATAAAATTTACTTCAATATAAGTTTGGGTAAAATTTAGCTTAGCTAAACATGCTCTCAAAAAATTAGATTAACAGTAGGAATTGAAATCATCACAGCAAGAACAGTTGCATAAGCATAACTATAAAGAAGATTCAACACTTCTACAGCTCCAAAACTCATAAAGATCTACAATAAGTTTTGCCTGCAGCTAAAGCCTAACACTATGATCATCAGACACCGTCTCTTCAGAAGCAGCATCACTGTGGATGACGATTAAGTCATCTTCGTTATTATCAGATGGTTTAAGATTCAGAACCAGGTACTACATAATTATAGGATGGAAAGGTCCTGAACTCCGTAACTGGTTTCTGAAGTAGCCCATTATGTTGAATATTGATGAAATCCATTGGTGATATTTTCTTAACACTATCCTCGTACCGGGGGCATACGTCTCCAAGTGAAAGTTGGACATCATCTAAAGGACGTTTTATCTTAGGATATGAAAAGTTCTTCATATGGCATGACGATATATCTGGGGTGCTGGCATATTTCGGTTGGGAGATGAGCATGCTGTACATAAGTTTGGATTGATCCTCGTCCCACCTCTCAGCCAAGTCCCTTGGTGTCCTCCAGGGAAAGAAATGCAGTCTCGGATCCTTCAACATGGTGTCCCAATTACCTCTTCCATGTCTCCTCACTCCAATCCACAAACAATCCAGCTCCTCCTCTGACCAGGTGGTTGGAGATTCAAACCTATCTGGAAAACCGACTCCGTTACCCTTCGCTACTCTTGCTCTCCTTGAAATGTTATCGAGCATCATCTTGTGTCTTAAAAGTGACGATGTCTGATCTGAACAGGGTTGCGGTCCTAAATCATGATAGATTTCTTCAGATTGGATGTTAAAATTAGGCCACTGATACGACATGGAATTGTAAGGATCTGACAGGGATAAACCAAGAAAGAGTGAAGATCTTGTACTAGCGGGTTTGAGCTGGCTCCAGCTTTCTTCCGATTCCACAAAAGAAATCTCCTCCTGCTGTGTTTTTGCTGATGGTAACAAGTCATGGCTTCTATTCTCAGGGAATAACTGCAACAGATTCCTTATTCAATGTAGGGAAAATTGCATAATAGTCCCCCAACTTACTGTTTTGGCAGTGTCATTGGTCGACTGATTTCTTCCCTTTGACAGTTTAGAAGTCAATATTTTATACAAAAAACGACCAGACCATTTTTCTTTTCTATTTATTATGTAAACTAAGGCATCTCCAACGATATACCAAATTTTGCACTAAATCTTGCACCAAACCAAAATTTTTCTCCAACCATTACACCAAAATTTACACCAAATGAACAGTATTTTATTATTTTATTCATTTTTTCGATTTTTGACAATGTATTTATTTTAAAAAATTATTTATTTATTTATTTTATAACTATATAAATTACTAAATCATAACTTCGTTAAATTAACAAATATATTGATTACTAAATTATTCACATGTCTTACATATTATGTTAAATTGACAAAAATAATTGATTATATTATTAATTTATGATAAACAATTACGTTAAATTTACAAAAATAATAAACTTCAATAATATAAACTTTACATTAAATTAAACTTTAAATGTAAACTTTATGAATTAAGCTTTACGTTAAATTAACAATTACGTTAATTATCATTGATTATATTATTAAAAATAATAAACCTTAATAATATAATTAATAGTGTAATTAATTAAGTAATTATTATTATTATCATCATCTTCATCATTATAGAACGAAAATGACACAAATTCTCTTAATCATTATCTTTGAAAAATGAAAAATAAAAGCAAAATGGACATAAAAATGGTGTAATGAATAGTGTTACACCATTTTGCACCAAAATTTGGTGCAATGGTTGGAGGAAGTTTGCACCAAATTTTGGTGCAATTTGGTGCAATGGTGCATCCATTGGAGATGCCCTAAAGGCACAACTGTCTTTTCGGTAAAAAAAATTGACATTTTAACAGCCAAATTGATGGTACCCTTAATAGGGGGCGTGGGGGGGTGGGGACAAACAATGCTATAAAACTATAAGATTAAGATGCTGCCCAAAACTATAGGTTGTGGATCAATACTTCAAGTTTTAAATAAAATATTTAACTAACAAATATATAAACACTAATTATCACTAAAAAAGCACCCAATTATCAGTAATAAATGTAATGAAACCAACTGAAAAGTTCCAATTGTGCAAGTTACCTGAAGATAATTATTTTTTGATGCAATGTCCCTGTACTGTGGACGATGATTTACACCATCATTGCTTTTGTCTACTGCTTTCACCTGAGAACCACCACTTTCTCGCATCCCTGCCTCACGGGTCGACAAATTCACCTTAATTTTCGCATTGAGAGAATCCAAATTTTTACTTGGAGAAGACACCATAGGAAAATATGGTTCATCAGAACCAGAGTCCAGTGCTATGTTGCAGTCAATATCACGAGCTGTACTATCACATAAACATTAATAAATGCAAACGCCTCACAAAGAGAAGTGGGTGAAATTGAAAATATATTTAAAACCACAGAAACTAGGGACAGATGTACATAGAATCCTTACCAGGTACAGCAACAGCTAGGTCCTGAGATGCTCGTGAACATTTATTCCCTGACATTTCACCAGGCAATTCCATGGTGTTCAAATCTTCATTAGACATTTTTTTTTTATCAATGTTATTATGCACCAAATCTGTAGTGGCAATATCTGATAAGTTTCTCGATGGATATACTGGATGATTTTCTTGAAAATCCATGGCAACGTAACAATGAAGGAAGTCTCCTTGAGAAAATGAGGACAAAGTCGAGCAACAGTAGTTGATGTATCATTGGCTGATTTTTGAAGAGATTTCAACTGCTCGTCCACTTGTATGCCACTGTTAAAATATTCATGAATCAAATTATATAACCAACAGTTATTAATTTACTATACAGACATGAAAGAAGGTTACATCTCAGTCCTTGGTGCAGATGCAGGAAACTTGGAATTATAATCAGTTTGTTGACTATAAACCTGTAATAGAATCAGCAAATTGATTAGCAGTTCACAACGAATTCCGTTATTTCATTTACAACAGATACTTAATATGCCGGTATTCAATGTTACGGCGAAAATCTTATACATAATAAAACACGAGAACAAATTTATATTCTGTTAGACAAAAATCAGAAACTCCATCTACTCTTCCACAACTTTCTGGAGTAAACAGATGCATTTTTCCCATTTAATCAATTTTGTTGAGGTTTCAAGGTATCAGGCAATAAATTGACCTTGGAATGCAAAAATGAAAATCCTTCACGCCTTTGTTAAATTGACCTTCGAATGCAAAATGAAAATCCTTCACGCCTTCGTCAGCAATATCCAAGCTTGAAAATTGAAGAAAGCCCACACTCAAAATGTAGTGCCGGCACGGCGTCGCCTCATTAAAAATGTAAATGTATCTATTTAAGTCAGTGAAAAAGTAATTACAATATAGGTATGTTTGTCCCCAAGACTGCCATAAGAAATATGCAAGGTCGGTATTAACTTTGGATAGAGGATTACTGGTTGTAATTTTAGGAAGCAAAACTGAAATTTTTTCCCATGCAAATCTAATAACTAAGCCAGCTCTCATTTTCATAATTTCTCTTCCTTTTTCATTTATCTTCAACAAGAATTCTCTTCTTCTATTACAATAAGTAAGCTAGCACTGATATCTAAGTTATTAGCACTGCAAGTATATGCAAAAATTAATTCTTTAAAAAAGTGATTCTAAAAATCAATCTTAGTTGTAGTAACATTTTTATCTTATGGTGGCATTCCTGGGAATGAAACATTCTTTCAAAAATTAGTTATTTTAGCTTCTTCGCACTATCCGCAGGAAGAACTGATATCCAAAAGGCTGCTTCAGAAAAGATTAACATACTTCTTTTTCATTCCTAACAAAGGGATCCCTCAGTTGTATATCCTTCTCATTCTTTAGATCCTCCACGTTATCATTTGAGCAGCTTTTAGCAGGCACTGTTTCAAATGTACAGGTGGAGACAGCAGATTCAAGGTTATATCCTTCTGCTGCCAATGAAGAATTCTCCCCAGCTTGTAGATTTGTCCTACCCTTGTTCTGCTTGGATCTTCGATGAAATGTAATTAGTGTTGAGGTAAACTTCCGTTTTTCAGCTGAATTGTTGCATAAGCTAATGCATTTATCTTGACGTGCTAAGTACAATTCTTCCAAAGTAAGTTTTCCAGGAAAAGATGCATCCTTACTGTCATGGCTGCATTTTTTTTTGGGGACTTCCTTCCAAAAGTGCATTTGAATGCTTTCTCGCTCGTGTCAACTCATATCCTACAGAGAGGGTCTCGCCCTCCAGTGTGATACAACCCGAGCAAAGCCTTTTCCCTTTTGGAGCATGCTTCAATTGAAAGGTGATGCAAATTTAATAATTTCTCAAGATAAGTTTCCCTCAACAATCACAATTTCCAGAGTCCCTAAATCTGTAAAGAAAATAAAGAGGAGATACCTCGGGAGGATTAAGACATTCACTACAATACTGCCGATAGCAGCTCTGACATTAAAACATATTGTCACCAACTTTGCCTCTATGACTATAGCATTCATTGCATATGTTGCGTGTTGTCACACCTGTCCTATCCACCTGGGCCAGTGGGCCACTTATCCTGACCCACGTGGCATTCCTGCCGAGGTGGCCACATTGTCGAGGTGGGTTACATCGAACTGCTTCTAACCGAGGCTCCGTGCCCGAGGCGTGGAAGCTCTTGGCTGTAGCTGAGGTCCTCGAATGGACGAAGCCCCGGAGTTGATGCGCGAGCCTCAACCACAAGGAAACATCCTCCATGGTCACTTCTCCCAAGAGATCGCCTGCACAGATCTTATTCGAATGATTGATGGAATGTCTGTCATAAGCATAAAGGTCAAGTCTTGTCACTAGCGTGGAGGCCCTGGACAAGCAATAAATGCGCCGTAAGCTAGCAAGTCAAATCCCATGCCTAAGAACAGACGTTTAAACTAAGGAGATGAGGCCACGTGCCACTTCATCCAAAGGCCCCCATTCCATATGTATCACTATAAATACCCCCATTGTATAACGTCAAAGGACTAATGCAAGAATCAATACTAAAGACTACATTTTACTCAACTCTCTCCCATTTTACTGGCAATATACAAATCGAGTTTATACATTTTTGGATATATCTACGAGCACCGGTTGGTAATCATTGTACAACCGGATTACGAACAACCCGTCGGATCCCGAACGTCACCGTCTCGCGTTGTTGGGCTACGCACACGCCCCTTTGAACCGCTTGTTTAGACCGTCCACGTGTCTTAGCGTGTTGGACATTCACCCACGCAAGCGCGGGTAGGACCGGCATCTGTTGGCGCACTTTTTGGGGTCAACAGATTGGCGCCGTCTGTGGGAAACCATACCATAACCACAAGCAACCTTGTGGTAAAAGCTTGCTGAAAAAACATTTGGGCAACCCCCTTGAAAAAGGATTTGTTCTTGAAAGAGAACAGGAGGAACTCCTACCACTTGGAGAAATCTAAGTTGAATAAAGGAAAAATGAGTTCTAACGAAGATACTCCCCCAAGGAGGGTAAGAGAAAATACAAATGTGCCTCCCCAGCCTGCTGCCCCAGCAGCTCGGCAGAGGCTCCACCACCACCAAAGGAGAGGTGGGATGCGTGCGACGGCACGACTATCAAGAGAAATGGCTACTATGGCAGCTAACATGAGGGATATAGCCAACTAAAACTTGGCCATGAGGGAGCTCATGGCCCAGATGCAAGGCCAAGGAGGTTTCCCCATTCCTCCATATGCCCTCCATGGGCACTATCAGCAAGAGGACGAGGTCCAAAGTCATAGGGCTGCCTCGCCAGACTATGGCCGAGGTGAAAGTCCATTCGAAAGGGAAGTGGGAGTTGACATTTCCTCCAATTATGCATCTGGCCGACCCTCCAAGGTCCAAATGAGCCATGATAACTTTCCACCTCCGTATGAGGAAGACCCAAGATAGAGGAGAGCAGGAAGTGTTTTTGACAAAATCAGCCCTGCCGAACCAAGGCCCAGTCAGTAGCAGGCTCAGCAGCCTCGGATGAGGCCACAGCCTCCACCTCCGATGCCCCAACAGCCGGAGAGAAGGCATGAAAATGCCCCACGCGCTGTCTCGCCTAGAAGTAGGCTGCAAAGGAGGGAGGAAGAAGCTAGGAATCGGCCAGGACCCTCTCACCAACAACCTAGGTACGAGGCTGAAGATTACGATTCTGATGAGCAGCAGAGGTCCTGTAACTTAGACGATGATGATGAGAACCTGCCATTCTCAAGAGAACTAAGAGATGCCCAGGTCCCGAGCCACTATGTCATGCCGAAAATACCAAAGTATGACGGGAGAGGTGACCCAGAAAAGCACCTCAACGCTTACAAAACTCACATGAGCCTGAGGGGCGCCACCCCAGCTGTGAAGTGCAGAGCATTCCATTTAACCCTCAGTGGAGCAGCTGAAATCTGGTATAGTAGGCTACCATCTGGGAGCATCCGAAACTGGCCCGAGTTCAAAACTACCTTCTTGAAGAGGTTTGCAGTGAGCAAGGAAGGAGAGGCCCCCATTCAGCGTCTTCAAGACATGAGACAGGCGCATGGCGAGTCCTTGAAAAGCTTCTTATACCGCTTCACCGACGAGATGACCTACTGTGTACAAGTCACCGACAGGGAAGCACTATCTGCATTGAGAGGAGGATTGAACATGAACACCCTATTCTGGAGGGATGTGCAGAATCAAGACCCAACCACCTATGACGCCCTACTAGAGATGATGAGAAGAGAGATAATCAATGAAGAATTGATTGAGCATCAGGGCAAGCAGGGGCCTCCCACCTCCACAGAGACAGCGAGGTAGGGGGCCGACCTCCCACCTTATGGACTACCAGATGAACCGATCTGGAAATGAGAACTCCGGCCAAGCCCTGGCCACCACAACTCTGAATGCGGTACCAACCTTGGCGTATGAGGATGTCAACCCAACCACTGACCCACATCAGATACAGGCCCAGCAGGGACCCCGTAGAGGGGGAGGCCTAGGTCAAGGTCGAGGTCGGGGTTTTGCACCTAGAAATAGGTCCAATCCGAACCTCCCTGGATACTGTTTGCACCATAGGTCCTACGGGCACGACACTGCGGATTGCAGAGACTATGCACACCGCTCGCGGCAGGAACCCGCCAGGGAAAGACATAACTCGCCCCAGGCCAACAGGCCCCCGCCCAGGCAAGACAACTGACATAGGCGTGAGGCGGCCGCTCCTCGTCAAAGGGATGTCTCCCCAAGACAAAGAGAGCAAGCCACGGAGAGGCCTAGGGAAGGGCGTAGACACCGAAGAAACAGGCAAGCTCAAGATGAGGCCCCTATCCACGAGATAGATACCATATTTGGAGGCCCTTATGTTGGTGGCGAAATACGGAACGCCAAAAGAAATTATGCTAGGGAGGCCAAGCACCCCCCTCTGACAAGCTACATTGTGGATAGTAGCTCTCGAAGAAACCAAGTACCACCCATTATCTTCACCCAGGAAGACGCCGAAGGAGTTCATTACCCCCACTGCGATGCGCTGGTGGTGAGAGCTGGCATAGCTCGAAATGGGCTCAAACGAATGCTAGTCGACAACGGCAGCTCCGTCAACATCTTGTTCGGGTCCACCTTTGACAAGATGCTATTGGACCACCAGTTGACACCCACCACTACTCCATTGTACGAATTTACCGGAGATAGCATCACTCTGAGTGGAAAGATAACACTAGCAGTAGAGATGGGAGAATCTTCCCAAACTACGATGAACTTTATGGAGTTCCTCGTAGTTGACAGCCGGTCGGCTTACCACGGAGTCTTGGGTAGACCGGCCCTAAAGGAATTGGGAGCAGTCACCTCCATCCACCACCTATGCATAAAATTCCCAACCGAAAACGGGGTGGCAACGGTGAAGGGCGACCAGAGAGGTTTGCGAGAGTGCTATCTGAGCTCCATTAAGAAGGTAGAGCCCCGGGACGTCCACGTGATCATGGCTGATGTGGTCATGGCGGATGTCCCAGGTGACGCTCCCGTCGGCCAGGAAGATGTTGATATGATTGACGCACCACCTCTTCAGGAGGCGTTAATAGTTGATGAACTCGACCCCCGCATAATGGATCATGACCCTCAAGCGTCCCCTGTAGAGGAACTTGAGAGCTTCTCAGCCGACCCCCGAGATCCATAAAAGATGTTGAAGATAGGCAGCGGCTTATCCAACGTTTTGAGAGAAAAGATCAAGGAATTCCTAGGCAAGAACCTTGACGTCTTCGCCTGGAGACATGAGGACATGGTGGGCATAGACCCCAAGGTTAGCTTCCACCACTTGAAAATCGATCCTAATTTCACCCTGCATAGACAAAAAAGGAGAGCCCTCAATCCAGAGAGGTATGAGGCCCTAAAGGAAGAAGTTCAGAAGCTCATCCAAAATGGATTCATCAGGGAGACCACTTATCCGAAATGGGTCTCCAACCCGGTCTTGGTTAAGAAACACAATGGCATATGGAGAGTATGCATCGACTTTACCAACCTTAATAGAGCTTGCCCGAAAGATAGCTTCCCGCTTCCAAGAATTGACCAATTGGTGGACTCCACGGCTGGGCACGAGTTGTTGAGCTTCATGGATGCATACTCCGGCTACAACCAGATCCCCATGCACCCGACCGATGAGGAGCACACCTCTTTCATCACGGACCGAGGCCTCTATTGCTATAGAATGATGCCCTTCGGGTTGAAGAATGCCGGAGCAACTTATTAAAGACTCGTGAACAAAATGTTTACCGACCTCATTGGCAAGACAATGGAGGTCTACGTGGATGATATGCTGGTAAAAAGCCTAGAAGCAGAGAACCACATAGTGCACCTTAACGACACCTTCCAAATACTGAGAAGGTACAGGATGAGGCTCAACCCCTTGAAATGTGCCTTTGGGTGGCTTCCGGCAAGTTCTTGGGGTACATGGTCAACCAGCGGGGAATTGAAGCAAATCCCGAGAAGATTGAGGCTCTGTGCCAGATGAGGTCCCCTCAAAAGCCAAAGGAGGTGCAAAGCTTAACTGGACGAGTGGCAGCACTTAGTCGCTTCGTCTCCAAGGCCACTGACAAATGCTTCCCATTTTTCAAAGTGCTCAAGGCCGGGAAGAAATTCCAATGGACTGAGGAATGTGAAGAGGCATTCCGAGGATTGAAAAGGCACTTGGGGCAGGCCCCCCTCCTCTCCAAGCCGAAGCCCGACGACATCTTGCAACTATATCTCGCCATCTCCAATGACGCCATCAGTTCGGTTTTGATTCGAGAAGAAGGGCCCACCCAACTTCCCGTCTACTATACGAGTAAAGCGCTCCTATCGCCGGAGACCCGATATCCCGATATGGAGAAGCTTGCTTTGGCCTTAATCACGGCCTCTAGGAAATTGAGACCTTACTTCCAAGCTCATACCATCCATGTACTTACAAATTTTCCCCTGAGGCAAGTACTCCAGAAGCTTGATGCCTCGGGAAGATTGTTGAAATGGGCAGTGGAATTAAGTGAATTTGACCTTGTGTT